GTCCACCTGTGTCCGCTTTTCCACATCTTCAGTTTGTGTGGCCTCACCAGCCTGTCCCTCCAACGCTTCAGCCTCATCCCAGGTGCTCTCCATATTATCTAATTCAAATTTTTAAGGGGTTTTTTCCCATCTGACTTTGGCTTTCTGGGCTGCAGGCCATCATGCCCTACTTTTGTCTCTTGGGCCATGCTGTGGATCAGCTGCCTTGTGGTCAGGTGCTATGTCAGAGACTCCGGGATCAACCAACCAACATTCCCCTAACCCTCAACTTAAGACACTATTTTTATTTCCTCAGAACTATTATTAAAGTAATGGTTAAAATAATTCTGCAATTCTTTTAAAAATAAGTCTTGTCAAACTTGTTTATAATGAGAAAAATCCTACTTCTTCACTGAACCAGCTATGCATTCCAAATAGGCAGAGTTAATTTCTTATTTCTAGATGTGCACAGAAGAGATCCCTTATATTTTTATTGCTGCCCGACAGCAGTGGTTTAAACAGAATTTGTATGAGCTTTTGCCAAATTTTCCTTACATATATAATATAAAGAAATGAGCAGCCTGGACACTGCTTTGTTAAAGTTGATCCCATAACATCAAGTAACTTTATACAAGGATAAGCACACACAATGACAATCTGTCACTAACTAACAAAACCTGTTTCTCTTCCTCCAAACTAACACCACTAGGCCACACACTGAAACACCCCACATCAGAGAAAGACGCCAGGCACTCAGGTGGTCTCCAATAAAATCAAGTTATCAGCACTCTTAATGTCCTAGTTAAAAACTAGAAAAAAAAAAAAAGTCTGTTATTATCTAGAGAGACATCACATTTTCACTAAGATCAAATTTAATACAATGATAACACCATATATGTCTTTGAAAGGGAGGAACAACTTATTCACTAAAAAATTCTGGCTATTACAAGAGTCAACATTGAAGGGAAAGAAATATTGTTAGAAGCCCAGACATGGAGGCTCACGTCTGTAATCTTAGCTCTGTGGGAGGCTGACGCAGGTGGATTTCTTGAGCTCAAGAGTTAAAGAGCAACCTGAGTAAGACCCTGTCTCTACCAAAAATAAAAAAACTAACCCAGTGTGGCAGTGGGCACCTGTAGTCCTAGCTACTCGGGAGGCTAAGGCAAGAGGATCACTTGTGCCCAGGAGTTGGAGGTTGCTGTGAGCTATGATGCCACAGCACTCTACCCAGGGCAACAGAGTGAAACTATGCCTCAAAAAAGAAAGAAAGAAAGAAAGGAAAGAAAAAAAATATTGTTAGAAAAGGGTCGGGGAAAGCTATGTGCAGCAGCTATTCACAAGAACTGAGGAAAGGAAACTTTTTCAAATGCACATGCAGCATGTCCTTACATTTCTTGGAATAAAGGATTTTCTATTTTAAAATCAGGTAGGCGGTCTACTTAGCCAACCTGTTTATTAACTATGCTAGTTGCTGACTCACTTTAGTCCCATCCTACATCAACAAGCAGCTTGCCTACGTAACATTCTCACCATCAGCTCAGACTATATAACACATAACTCTAACCGATCTAATTTCAGAGGACAGAAATTGGTATAATTTAAAGAGTGCTGATGTTGTCTTTAAATGAGGTGCCATTAGAAAGATTTCATCGAATAAAAAGCACTATAACGGGCAAGGGGGTTGAATCTTTCCTTAGCAAAATTTCATAGGTTTCAAAAGACAACTTTAACTTGAATGTCTCGGAAAAATGTTAGTCAAACACTAAAAAAGCACTATGTCATTCTCTTCTTTTTAATAGTTGAAGCAATGAGCCAAGTAAATGTGACATCTATATTCCTAAAGTACAGCAGACTTTGATTCTCTCCAAAGCAGCAGCTTAGAATGATTCTAAGTCACTATCTAGGTGTATTTATCTTTGTCAAACTAGTAAAAATGGGAAAAAAGAAAAGCTCTAATTTCTTCATCTATCATAGAGTCATTGGAGACCACATCAATTTAGTAAGTCAAGAATTTATATTACTGAAAGCCATAAAGGTAACTCAGCAAACTAAAAATAATAGTTTAACTATAAAAAGTGAAAGGCACCTCTATCCGAAGGAGACGATGATTAGGTGCTGAATTTCTCACCTTTCAGGGGAAGGACAGGTAGATGCTCTCTAAAGCTGATAAATCACCAAGAGTACAATTTTGAAAGTAATAAATGCAAACTCTAGAGGAACCAAAATAAACGGTCTACAGTTGTCCTGTGAGGGGTTGGGGACACTTTTATACCTCAGAACACTCTGCACTTTCCTACGTGTATGTATCCACTTTTACATAAAGAGTCCATAATTAGGCATCTCTAAAAAAAAATTAACCTACCATATTTCAAGTGCTACACCTACCGACTCAAGAACTAGCAACTTCATAAAATGGAACAACTCTAAAGTGAAACAGCTCATCCAAAAAAAAAAAAAAAAAAGCAGAGGAGGCTTTTTTCCCACCTTGCAAAGTTCACAGCTGGGCATCCCCAAGTCAAAACAGCTTTTGTGACAACTAAAAACTTACAAAAAACATCCAAACACTCTTTGGTATTGTTCTACAATCAAAACCTCCTTCATCAATTTTACCTGCGTTTACGTACAAACAGGCGTAACACCGTCCGGTCTAACTCCTGTGAACCACCGCTAGGCTAACAAGCAGAGGCCAGAGGTTCAGGGCGGCAAACCCCTCGCAAGCCCTTACATCAAATCAGTAAGGCATTCAGGGGCTTCTGTTTCTTTGAAATCAAAACAAGAGAGGCAGTAGAGAGTGCGCTATCTCGGCTGATGCCCTCAGGAATGTGAAAGTATGCGCTGCAGTTTCAACCTGGCAGAGCTGGAGGGTTTCTTGTTTGTTTTTTTAAAGCAATTCACTTGGACAAGCAGTAAGGCCAAAGCAGTGGGGTTTTCTGTTAATCCCTGGTCTCGAACCTTTACGAAACTCACTCTAACATTCCATCCTCCTAATGCTCCTAGATGTAATGATCTCAATTTTTTTTTTTTCAAACCGCAGCTGAATTCAGAGGAAGGAGGGCGGCTGGCGTGACTGGTGATAGAATGATTTAACGCAGTGCTCTCAGGACCGGGTTATTTCTAGTAAGCACGGTAATTACTACAGGTAATAATGTGACTAAGATCACAGCATTTAGTCCTCCTCCCTCCCGGCAACACCTCAGCCTACCTGGGTCCTTCCGACACCACGACCCAGGTAAAGCCACCTGCAGAGCCCAGGCGTCAGGCCTGCCGCTCCCCCGGCGCTCCGCAGCCGAACCCTGGGCTCCCACGCCGCGCGCACTTCAGGCGTTGAGGCCCCGCGACCCCGCTCCGCGCCCGGGCTGCTCCCCAGACTCTGTCCGGCCCTGGGACCCAGCCGGGCCCTGGGACCTCGCGCCCCGCAGCCCACCCGCGGGGCTGCAGCCCGTGCGGCCTCGCTCAGCCCCCGCCGCTGGCCCCCACCGCGACCTGGGCGCCCCCGGCCTGCCGCCCCCTCCGCGCGAGGCCAGCCGGCCGTCGCCCGCCCTCTCTGCCTGCACTCACCCGCGGTAGTAGGCTTTCACCCGGACCTGGTGCGAGTGGTCCCCGCCGCCGCCGCCGCCCGCGACCGTGTGGGCCATGGTGCTGCTGTCCCTCTGGGTCGGCATCTCCCCGCTCCCGGGAGCGCGAGGGGCGCGCCAGGC